TGCCACTTACAACTAAAATGGTTCCAACAAATTATTAGTGATCAGGAAATCAGACGCTTAGCAGACCTAAGTTTCTAACCAAAGCAATGGTGAAGGAAGGGCTGTAGGCCAGGAGCAGGTAGAATACCATTTTAATTGCACATGATAACTTTCCTTCAAAGTTCCAGAGAGCATTTCATCTGCCAGCAGCAACAAGAAGTCTATGGTTCCCAGGGATCTCTCAGTCCCAGGGAGAGGCAATCACAAGTGAAACAGATAAGGAAAATAAGTAAGAGAGTCTCTCAACAAGACAATTTCTTCAGGTGGGAACAACATCCAAATTCCCCATATCTGTGCCCCTACTGCATGTTCTTATTAACAACTGCATATATCCTAACAACAACAGGATGTTATTCTAAAAACCACATCTTATTTTTAATCTTCTGATAGATAAAAATTTAAACGACTGACTCCTTATGAAATACCCAACTATCTCAGTTCCCCTCAACTTATATAATCAAATGTTTTCTTTCCAGCCTCTTATTCTATACTGCTAACATCTGCATGTAAACAACCTTAGTATCCTAAATCTCATTTGCTCCTGCTGCTGTTCTTCACCTGAAGAATGTAATCCCGTTTGTCACATAATAATCACTTTCCCAGCAGAGCACTGTTGTTTTAGGTAGCAGGGAATAAAGCAGCGGGACAGATGAACTCTTAGAAACAAAGATCCTAATTTCTTACAGCAAGGGACATTCTCCACTAAGCCTATTTGGCTTTACAGATTATACCCTCTTGGAGTCCCACAGAGTAATACATGAATGTTAGAAAAGCACCTATGTCAAAACGCTATTTTGTCCAAACATGGTGGGGGGTGTAGTGCAGGGATAAAGCCAAGGCCTCTCAGGTGTCACTCAAAATAACTGTTAGTGTCTACTAACAGGACAACATTCACTGGAAATATCTCTAGAGTCATCCTTATTAAGCCAAACTTAACAAGAATTTGCAGCAGACAGTGGCTGTAGAAGTCATTAATAAAAGTCCCTCTGACCTGGAGGAATGCCAACCCATGGAGGATGAGTGGTTTATCTTCCCTCTTTGGTGTAAGTGCTTTCATATTTTTCCAACAGTGTGAACAGTTTCATCCTCTTATCATTGACACTACTGTCCTTTCCTCCTTTCCCTTTTTGTCCAACTTTCTTAAAAAAACTCAGTGAAAACCAAGCCAAACCAAACAAAGGGAAGAGAAAACTAAAGAACGAACACAACACAGCAAAGTGTTAACTAATCGTTGGAAAGATACAAATTAAAATATCTCCCTCAGTAGACAAAATATATTCTCTATTTTTTTCATTAGAAATGGAGTGGCTCCTTAGCAGAGGTGATAAGGATGATCACAATGCATATTGGTCAATTTAAAGTTTAAAAAGTGTTCTTTGTGCATCTAAAGCTCTTGACATCTTCTGAGACCTTAAATGCTGACCAATAAGTGTTAATTCTAAATTAAATGTCCCTGGAGAGAACTACTGACATATACTGAAACTCATCTTAAAACTTTCCTGAAAATTTCCATGTTTGACTCAACTGTTAATTTTTTAAAAATCCTTAGTAGTATCCACTCATAGCAAATACTTAAGAGATAGGTTAGCTCAATGCTATAGGATCAAGCTAAAAAGTTCAATGTGCCATCCTGGAAGTAAATGGTGGCAGAAAGATCCTGATAAGAGAACAGCTGAATATGCACAATTTTATAACCATTTTAGTAAATATATTTAATGCGGCAGCAAATTTTCTTCACTTACAAAATGTAGCTAGTGATTTTTAATATCTACTCTTTTTTTCTAAGGTTTAATAAAAGTAGTCTGACAAAAGCCATAAGTGCATTTACTTTCATTATGAAGAAAATCAGGTGAACAACAGCTAAGTGAATTGCACCAGACAGGAATTGCACTCTCACTGGGACAGAAATGGTGAGAGCTTGCACAGCTGTGAACATCTGGGACATACGGTACTTAACAAAGAACATCTTCATGTTAACTCGTATAGTTCCTAGCATGTAGACAGCACATTCAAAAAATGTTAGTTGAAAAGAATAAACAATGAATAAAAGAACTATGAGGACTTTCAGAAATTTCAAGAAATTATCTGTATTTATTTATTGATAGCTTATTTCCTTACTAGATCAAACCTCTGAGAAAGCCAGAACTTTATCCGACTTGTATCTAGTGCCTACAATAGTGTGCCCAGTTCAGTGACTTATTTGCAGAGAGAGTGTGTGTGTGTGGGGGGGGGAGAAATAGTTCTTAGTTGGAAAAATTAAAGACTTTTATTCAACTTTGAATTTAGTACAATATACCTATTTATCTAAGTATTAAATGGATACCTTTATAAGATAGAATAAATCCACATGAATATACAGAAATTTTTAATGATCAGAATACTGTCTTTTCTAGGTGTCTGGTTAAGGTTTGTGCCATAGCAACTCCTGACCACAGGACTATGAAACAAGGAAACTCCAGAAAGCAGTAAGACTTAAAAAAAAGTGATTTTTTTTTCCTTTTCCCCTTCTATTGTCAAAAGAGGTTTGAAAAAATATAATAGGTGGAAAATTTAGGGTTTAGGCAAAGTAATAATCCTTAAATTAAAAAGGATTAACATATAAAAAATATCTTTTGAAAGTGGCAGGAGTTAGAAGTCAACAGAGAGAGGGAGATCGATTTTACTTTTGCTTGTCAAAGAATCAAAATAAAACTGGCAATATTTGCAGCATCTCTGCAACAAAATTCAAGGTATATACATGTAAACAAGAAAGAATATTAGCTGAATTTAAAATGATAATGTATTTAAATTTACCTGACACAGTATTTAAAACAAATTAATCATTGGGAAGGGGTATTTAGAAGGTAAAAGAAAAATAATTTTGTACCAATATTTCACTCAAGGCTTTGAATGAGCATGTGTTAGTTCAGTACTATATTAAAATACTTAAGATGCACAGAATAAATTAATAACTATTTTGTAAGCTGATGAGGAAACACTTCAAAATTGCACTAAGGTTTCATGGTGTTGGCTAAACTAGAACCATTTATTCTTAAAGATCAGTTAAGTACCATTTTGGAAATGCTTCCATAAAATAATTATCCCACAGCACTGAAGACTGCATGAGACCCATCAATTTCAACTCTAGGAGTCCTTCCTGAACTTATACGCACATAGCAATAACTCTTTGACCACCATACTTTCATACTGCTCGTCAGCCATGGTGAATCCAAGCTAACACACCAAATTCAGGTAAGTTGAGAAACTAGAACTAAATTAGGGCCACAACTAAGCCCTTTGCTCTTTCTCCTAGGTGGGGTCTGCTGATTCTCAAGAGCACAGAAGTCAGGCTAAATAAAGAAATGAGGCTGAGGGCTTGACTGGCCATAGGCAAATAAGTGACACCAAGAGAATACCACCAAAGCAACCTTGGTTGCTTTGCTCAGTAACTCCATGCAACCTCAGTTCTATTTTAAAGTGCTTTTTCATCAGCATACAATATTAATTTATTCTCTACATATTAAATGCTGTAATGTAGTAGTAAGCTAACATTTATGGTTAAAACATGAAGATTCAAAAATCTGTGTGAAATATGACTGCTTAGTTAGTGGCTTAAAACAAAACACTAGATTTGGCCATGTCTATACTAGCCACTACCTAATGATCAATGTGGTTAGACATTTTATAATACTATCAGAATTCTATAGTTCTGAAATAATCTTATGATATGTCATGGGCAACCATTACAACTAGTTCAGAGCCATTTTATTTTTTGTTATGTTTTTAAAAGATAATTTCTTTCCAACTCACTCTATTTCCATAGGTCAACCAATACAATTGCCTTTCTTACACAAAGGAAAAAAAACTTGTTGCTTATACATAATGAAATTTAATGTAGTAAGCAGAGACACCACTTTCCTAATCAACTTTCTTTAACCCCAACTAGAGAATATTTATGATATCTCTCAATTTCAACTTACAACAATTCTATAACAATTTCAAGTCTATTCTCCAGTTTATTAATAAGAATACTAAACAGTAAGATTTACAGTAAATTTACTGAAGGATTATACTAAACATCCTTTCCTAATCTGACCTCAGACCATGCATTTGACTTTCCTAGGCACACAATGTATTGTCCACTTCAGAACAAAAATTAAGTAATCCAGTTGTTCTTCATTATTTGATCCTAAAAACTACATTATGAAGATGCTTCAATATTTACACAGGTTTATATAGAATAAATTTCTATAATAATATGATTTGTATAGATCCTTTGCATTTAAAATTGAGAATTTAAATTACCACATTTAGAATGGAAAAGAGGAATTAATTAATTATAGGGTGCTTATGGTTTCCATAATCAGTGATTACACTATGTCCTTTAAGGCTTAATTTTTTACTGCTTAAAAGATATTGAAAAAAAATTACAATCTGTAATAATATTTCTATACTGACACACAAACACATGCATACATGTAAGATTTTAGAAAATCATACTAAATCTATGATGACAATGTTTGACATAAAATAATAAAAGCTTAATATTCCGCTTTCAAATAAAAGGGACTACCCTATTCCATGCATGACACACACTCATACCTAACATGAATTTCTCTAACGGTTCTTTTTAATATATAAAGTATTTTATACACAATATTTCTTTTGTTTCTCTCATAAGGCCTAGATTATAGTTAATATCTCATGGCACCAAAAGTAATACTGCAACAGATATTAAAGCATTTTTCAGCCACTTATTCTATAAAATATTAATTGTAAGCCTGTGCATGTGCTGTTTATATAGGGGATTAGGTAACTGAGTTCCTGCTCAGTTCTAAATCAATAAAAGATAACATGCAGAGCATCAATCATCATTCTCTCTTCCTTTAGTACATAATAACTGCAGGTGGAAGATTTTAAAAATATGTATTTAAGCACTCATGGAGCTATTACAAACTAGAGAGGATGTGAGAAATACTTACCTAGGAAGGACAGGTTTTTCTCCAGAAGCAAATCTCTCAGCAGTACTTCATGCTCATGACCAATGGCACTGGGAAGTTTTAGTTAAGGAGGATAACATAGGCAGATTTATACCATCAGGAAAATACTAATACCAGGTACATACTTTGAGATGAAATGAAGAAGAGAGGTAATTATAACAATTTCCATCTGCAGCCCACATCTCTGAGGAATGATATTTCTTCTTATTTACCCCTCCCCCATTTAAATGATCCAAAGGAATTTTTCTGTTTTTTATATTTTGGCAAAGATTTATAAGTGGGTATAATTTTAAATTCTTTTAAAAAGAGGGAAAATCATTTAACATGTCCATTAATCTGTGTTATCCCTCACTTCAATTTAGAACACATTAATTAAGTACTTACTTAGTGCAGTTAAGAATATTAACCTGGTTTTCCCTAAAAATGGTTCCAATCTTACTGTGCTCTGTAAATCTAAGAATTCACATGTGTCACTAAGCCAGCATTTAGCAGCCTGTTTTGTTTCCCTTCTATTGTCGGTGATTCCCTGTGACTAGAGAAGCCAAACAACTGACTTAATGAGACTCTATGGAGTAGACATTTTAGGAGATGACTGTGGGTGAGTATGCATTTAGAGGCTTTCAAAAATATTTTCTCATCTGTATATTTGTGTGTGTGAGTATGTATCATATATGTGTACATACATAGATACAAACATGAACATACAAATTGTTTTAGTGCTTCCTAGGTGGCAGGCACTGAAGTAAGTGATTTATGTGTATGTTGTTTCATCCTCACAATTTATTTTATAGATGAGGGAACAGACTGAGAAATGAACCTGCACAAGGCCAGTTAAAACATGGCAAAGAATGAAAATGAGATCTTTGCAAAGCTAGTTTATAACTCCATATAGCTTCTTAGAAAGTATTAAGATTATGCAAAGATTCATAGCTGCTAGTATTTCTTAAATATCATGTATGATAAGCACTTCCAGGGCTGGAGATGTGGCTCAAGCGGTAGCGCCCTCGCCTGGCATGCGTGCGGCCTGGGTTCACTTCTCAGCACCACATACAAACAAAGATGTTGTGTCCGCCGAAAACTAGAAAATAAATATTTAAAAATTCTCTCTCTCTCTCTCTCTCTCTCTGTCTCTCTTTCTTAAAAAAAAAAAGATAAGCACTTTCAGATATAATTTTATTTAATCTTCACAATAACCACACGAGTAGATGCTATTATTAGTCTCATTTTTATACTTAAGAAAAGGTAAGGTTCAAAATGGCTGAGGAACTTGTTGAAGGCCCCAAGGCTGGTAAATAATGAAATCAAGAAGCAGGAGTTGGAAGTCTGGTCTGTTTTCCAAAGTGATAAGAGTGAACAAAATCTGAAAAGGAGTCTTAGCCTATGCTGGTACTAATTTCAGTTGAAAGCATCTGGCAATCATTCTCTGAATCATTACTGTCATACTCTATGTTTTGCTGGTTACATCAATTTGGTTCTATCACACCTTGGTTTACCAGAGACTACTGTTCTGACCATAGGCTGCAAGAATTCATTTCAATGTAAATCAAAGAAAAGTTATACTTCACTTGTAAAAAATAATTCCTAGAGAATTATCTTGCCTTTTACCAACACATATGAGTATCATTTAAATCTTATAATTCAGAAACTGTGGTCATTTATGTCCACCATCAAGGCAAGCCCTAAGTCTTCATTTATGCTTTTTTCTTCCTGTTTTACCCTCTGCCTTGGGACATAGCTATGCTTCTTGAATTTCTAATTGGAAATAAAAGGAACAAATTTTTAAGTCACAAAATCTAAAACATTTTCAGAGGCCACTGAAAACACTTGATGAATAACTCTCAACAGTCTCTTGTTACCATGGGCATCCCACATTTTAGAACTAAATTATTTACTTCTATTCCACATAAATGCGCTCCCACTTTTATTGTTGTAAATTATTTACATCTAAAATGTTGAATCATGAAACTGAGGTTACTGATGGTACAGAAATGAAACCCACAGCACTTGAGGCTTCCTGCATCATTATATTTTCTTGCATCTCTATGCAGGCCTCTATCTAATAGTGGGGTCTGGAGTCACACTTTGGAAAGCTGAAATGGTTACCTTCTTACATTTTCCTTGGTGAGTTGAGATACAGTAGGAAAGGTGTGGATGGGCATGGCTAGCTAGAAAAAAAACAGCAGGCACATCCTCCCAAAATAAGGGAGACGGAAAGAGAAAGCACAATGTCAATACATACACTCACTGCTACTATCCCTTCCATGGTGTCTTATTAGTCAATGACCAAGGTACTTTATTCTATTTACACAAATGTTCACATATAACATTTTCATAATCGAATAAAAAGATTTTATACCTATTCCTTTTACCAAATATGTACTTTCTCTGTTGGAAAACGAAGTAATTTACTGAAAGTAAGTACTATAAACATTACCAATTTATAAGAATAACAAATAAAAGCATTTTTCACTCACATGGAAAACTAATAATTCTTATTCAGTGTGAAATAAAGTACTTCTGTTGATCCGTCTAGAAGACATCTTTGCAAGCATATTCACATTACATGAAATTGCTACTATTTCAATGCAAAAATAAAATCAGTTTCTCTATAAATTTCCTAGCCTGTTTTATTTTGCAATAGTAAAAGCAATCACCAATTTGAAATTTTGGAAAGACATACTTCTTGATTATGCATTGCTTGATATAAACATATATAAAATGGAAGGTCTAGAAAATAAACTTATAAAAATAGTAATTTTACTGACAACAGGCATAATGGAACTGCAAAATAATAATCTAGTTGGTGAATGCAACTTATAGACATACATCATTATCTTTATCAACTGAAATCACGTACTACATTAACTTCTACTGGCAATAACACAGCCAAAAAAGGAAAGTGAATGATAGCAAAAACATAAGGAAAATACACCAAGCAGAATTTATAATGTTCCATAAGCAGAAACACTTAGACTTTGTCTATAAGAATACCTATTATTGATGTATGGCAGTGACCATGGGGCAAAACTTGTAAATAACCTCACAAGCCATTTTCTTCGCCAGCAATACAGCAATCTACTTTCCCGTAAGCATCTCAACTATTACTGAAAAATAGCCTCCTGGCATTTACAAAGCAGTTGACTTCATACTTTAGTCCTTGCATATATAATTAGATAGTTATTTTTAAAATCAATATGCAATCCTTCAAAAGACATTATGCTTTTAAAACCTTAACTTTAAATTGATTTTTAACTATTTTATGTGCTTTAAAATTAACATGTAATTCAGCCCCAGATACTCTCAGACGGTGTGAGTTGTTACACGAATGTGCTAAACTTTATCACTACAGCAACATGAGGTTGGCACTCCTACAATTTCTAACACTACATTAATATCACACTCAAAATTGAAATATAGTTTCACTTTAGTTAAATAAAAAGGCAAGTGTGTGTGTGTGTGTATATATATATATACACACACACTCCCCCCCATATAAATACACATATGAATGAGAGGCTATATGTTAGGTATTAAATATTCTTAAAAGAGGGCCCTGTTAAAAAAGATTACTTTCAAATCTTAATTTAGGAAAGAAAGAATTTTCTTATCATGGTTTTACTGACTCTAAGCCTTTGTGAAACAAGGAGGAATATAAACACACACACACACACACACATCCCAAAACACACGCATGCACACAGATGCATGTGAACACATTTAACTTGCAAGAACTTCCAACAAAACCCCTGACTAGTAATCACTCAGTCACAAATGGTAATGGTGCCACCAATGCTAACAAAATCTATCTAATGAAATCTATGTTTATAGTAAGAGGTATAAGACTCATAGACTGAGATATTTCCATTAAAATTATTAGCATTTAAATAGTATTTTTAGTCAAAAATTACCAAAATTCTCACCGTTGCTACAAGACTACCAAAACATTGATTAGTAATGTCCTGGTTCACTAAACAGTTACCATCCACCCAATCCTACTTTGAGAAGTAAACACTAACTCTTTAGAAATCTCAATGTTTTTAATGAAGAATGACTAGACATCTGTTTTCACAGCCTTAAATTCAGTCCCCAGGGAAAAATTAGCATGGTTTCTCTAAAAATGTTTATTAAGGATCCAAATGACAGCTCAGATAGTAATCAGCATTTAAGCAATAAGAGTCTACTGCCCTTTAAAATGTGAGGGTCACCAGCAACATTTTAATAACATCATCCTTTAACTCAAGGCTCAAAATTTATTTTGGTAAACTCTACAGAATTTGGCTCCTTTTCAATGGAACTTTGTTATATTTTAAAAAATGTTCACAGGAATGGTTAGCTACATTCCAAGACAGTATGTTACCTGCCTAATGACTCTGTACCTTTAAACTCATTGAAAACCAAGCAGTTTGAAATCAGCATGTGAGTGCAACTGCTGAACTGACACCTTCCTGGGGCCTATCTGGTTTCCCTTAAGCTGTAGGAAAGAATGGTCTGCAATGACCCTCCAGCTGATTGAATATAAAAGAGTATGAAATGTGTTTTGTGAAGCAGAACTTTATGTCAGGTTAAAGCTAGACACATCTCTTCCACTGAGTCTAAGCTCGTCAATTGTGCACCTAAAATTTTATGGGAAAGGATACTGTTTGATGCAGTCCACCAGTGGTCCATAACAGCAGTCGTTCACAATGCACTGCAGACAAATAAGAGAAGGGGTATGTGTGTGTGGAGTGGGGTGGGGGTTCAGTGGGGGGGGGGAGACTACAAAAACTATTACAGTAAACATCCTAAAAGCAGTAATTACTTTTCTTCCCCCATCCCCAAAAAAGAATGCTATCAAAAGGCTGTTCAGATTTAATCACAGAAAACAAAAATTGCATGCTTTTTATTTACTATAAAAGCAAGCTATTAAAAAGTGAAATGCTCTTCTCACAAATATTGCATTGCCATTTATGGTGCACCCTGACCTCAGTGATAGTTTATGATGACAGTAATTAAATGAGGTTTAAAATCCTTTACTCTGCTAGGCAGATAACAGCATTGCCACTGAAAATAGACAGCTGTGATTAATACCTGATAGACCTGATTTGCTAGAACTCCATCTGGAATCTGAGAAGGGTCCCGTAGCATACTATTTATAACAGACTTGGAAGCTGTAGAAGAAAAGAGATGAACTATTAGCAGACAGTCAACATACTTTCAATGCAACATGAGAAGTGACAAATACCTACATACACACAAACCATGAAAACAAAAACATTACTCATTATAATCATTTTCCCTTTTTTTAATATAAGGGAAGTTTTTAATTAGACCATGTTGCCAAGTTTACAAGCCACATCGCCAGATTTGATGATGACCTAATTTTTCCAAGGTAAATGAACAAGTACAGACCTAAAGCATATGTCTCTTTGAAGATAAATTAGCTTTGGAAAAGCCCACTTGAGGAAAAAACAACAACAACAACAACAACAAAATTAAAAAGCAAAACAAAAACAAAAGAAAATATTTACCTTTTATGGGTAGGTATTTTATAACCAAGCATATGCACATGCAAAGCTTAGTAAAGGCAGGTCAGACTTAAAGACTTCAATGGTGTCAATAAAAATAAATTTCAGCTATCTCTGAATATTAAACCTTTTCAAAATAATTCTCATCAATTGCTGTAAGATGTTACATACATCCCACAGAGTAGTAACACTGATGACACTAGTTGACAGTTGAGGGAATTTTAAATAAGAAAAAAAATTGGGGGTATGTGTATATACATGTATATATAGTTGTTTCTTGATTCTCTCAGGGATTGGTTCCAAGATCCCCTGATGGATACCAAATTCCACAGATGCTCAAGTCCCTTATACAAAACCACATAGTATTTGCATATAACCTATGCACATTCTCCCATATACTTTAAATTCATTTCTAAATTACACATAATATCTAATACAATGCAAATTCTATGTAAATCGTTGTTTTACTGTATTGTTTAGGAAATAATGACAAGAAAAAATGCACAGCAAAGATGCAATTTTTTACTTCACATATTTTCATTGGTGATTGCTTGAATTCATAGATACAGAGTCTATGGCTACAGAGTATCCACTTTGTGTGTATACATTTTATATATACACAAATTTTCCACCTAAAATATGCCTCATTCACTTGAAAATTATCCTGGACTCCCAGGGATGAATAGTGAAGCATTAAGAAAGGTATCTAGTGAAGAATGTTATGTGAGGTGATATCCTTTGAAAAGCAAGGTCAGAGACCTTGTCACTTGCTCACATTAGCAGCCCAGGTGGCCAGAGTTCCTCTTACTATATGGGAGGAAGACAAGTTTCTAAACAAGCTATCAATCAATTCTAGCAAAGTCTTACAGAGGCATCTCTCCCAAATATTTAACAAAATGGCTTAGGATCTGACCCACACGAGCACAAACTGAAACGCATATTGTGTAACTATCTAGTTAAGAAAATGAACACAGATCACAGATCTCCATCACTTAAATTCTGAGCTGATTTTTGTTCTAACATTTTCTTTATAAAGTTCCCTGACATAGGAACACTAATAGATATAATAAATGCTAGTAAATACTATGGAAAGAAATAAGGAAATTTACATCTTACATAAGCACAGCACTGAGTCTTCAAAAAAATCAAGTAAAATTATTTAAGTTATTGCCTACTATTAATTACATGACTGCATACTTACAGGAACACATGTGTACTTAAGAATCATTTGTAAACATGTGCTTGCTCCGCACTTAAGAGAGGCCATACCGAATCACAAAGAGAGCCACACCAGTCATCCTACCAAGCCCTATCTCTACTTCCAACTCCCCAACCTAGGCAGGTAATGCAGACACAACTCGTGTCTTCACCTATAGGAAGGGACGATATTATTCAATCCAACAAAAAGGGTTCCAGTGTGAGTCTCTGGAGAAAGGAGCTACAATACCATATTGTTAAATTTAAGTAATACTGAGAAACAAATCACACTTATGCAATTGTATCTGAAAACTTAGGCTGTACCTAATTACTTCGAAAAGAAATTACCATTGATAAGTGGTACAAATATTGAGCATATGAAGCAGCAAATCATCATCTTACAAAGGAACACATTATGGCAGCAATAGTATTAAAGAGATAATAAAGTGCTTGGAAAACATGCCTCATTTCTCCAACCTAATTCTAAGGCCTGGCCTGTTGGAGGAGATCAAAGCAATTGTTCACACATTTGGTTACCTTCTCTGAGGCTACTCAAGGGACTCAAGGAAATACTAGCCCCTTCTCCAAATATACGTAACTGTGGCTGAGGTGCTCCACTGCAAACTCTCACATCGTATGAGGAAAAGATTACTGATATTTTAATGACAGCATGTTCTGAAGTGCTATCTTATGGAAAATTACTGACCTCATGCCAAATTATATGCAAATTCATTGCTAAAATCTTTAAACTAAAGCTCTTTTTAAAAAAGACTAGGGATATTATCCTAGGACATAAAAATATTGGGTCATTTGTTTTGAGGGAAGAAAAGGAACTATCAAAAGATAAAAGAAACTGATGACATAATTTTCCTCACAATACAAATTTAAAACAGTGTGCTTATCAGGAATAAGAATTATAACCAATAAATTTTTAAAAAATAATTCGAATTCACTGACTAGGATACTATTCCAAAGAAAGTTAGTTGTTTTAAATGGAATGGTAAAAACTACATATTGAGTACATATACATTTTAAATTTAATAACAAGTCTTTTTTCTTCTTTCAACCTGGTATTTTTTAGAGCAAGAGAGAAAGCTCTACTACAAAGTCCAGGACTCTGCTGCAGACCCAATGCTGGCCTGCCTTCCACATGTGGCTGTTTCCACTCAGTCTTCACAAAACAATGCCTGTGTCTCAGACCTGGCCAGAAAACACAAACATACTTTTACTCACATATTCTGAATTTTAGGAATTGCCATCCCAAAGGGATGAACAATAACATCTACCAGAAAAGTAAAGGCAGACTCTCAACTCCAGTGTCTCCATCTGTAGGAAGTGATTATAGCATTTAAGGTAACTTAATAAATTACTAACAATCTTTGAGTGGATGCCTTCCATGGTACCCATCCCTAGGCTGTTTGTCAATTTGTGTTCAGTTTTTTTTTTTTTTTTGACCACACAGGGACAAGAGTCCTGTTCTCCCTAGCTTTCCCTAGAAGTACACGTTCTATTGCTTTCACACTTTTGCCCTGATACTGCTTCAACTGATTCTATTTCTCATTTCAAACAAGGATACACAAAGAAGAAAATGTGAGTCACTTGGAATTAGATCCATGAGAAAAGAAGTGGTATGTTAAGTCACGCTACAGAAGACAGGCAATAGCTAATTCATGGACTAAAGCACAATGCCTAAGATTACATGTTTTCATTGTGAAATACTTCTAATATGAACAACTACAAACATGCATCCACCACCCTAATCTAACTTCCAGATCTGAAATAAATTTACTTTAGATGGTCTAATATAGCATAAACTTTTTTAAAATTAGTCTTGCTAGAAGGTGAATTTATTTTACTAGTATTTTCAGGAAATCAAAATTTGGCTTTGTTGATTCTTTCTACTGTGCCATTTCTTTTAATGGCATTTAAATTATCTTTTCTTATCATTATGTCCTGTTTTCTACTTTGAGTTGAGTACCTTATCTTTTTGTTACTATTTTCATAGTAATGTGCAATTCTTTAACATTTTTAAGACTATAATTTTTCCTATAAATTTTGCTTTAATTACATGCTATAAGTTTGTCATTTATTTACAAATATTTTTAGCTTCCATTATTATTTCATCTTTGATCCACAAATTACTTAAAAACATTTAATTTTTTGCCATTCTAATTTGTGATATTTATATCAATATGGAGTGTGTGTTTGGCTTCCTGGTTTTTTTTAAATTTATTTATTTTTTATTGTTGGTTGTTCAAAACATTACATAGTTCTTGATATATCATATTTCACATTTTGATTCAAGTGGGTTATGAACTCCCATTTTTACCCCGTATACAGCTTGCAGAATCACATCAGTTACACTTCCATTGATTTACATATTGCCATACTCATGTCTGTTGTATTCTGCTGCCTTTCCTATCCTCTACTATCCCCCCTCCCCTCCCCTCTTTTCTCTCTACCCCCTCTACTGTAATTCATTCCTCCCCCTTGTATTATTTTTTCCCTTTCCCCTCACTTCCTCTTGTATGTAATTTTGTATAACCCTGAGGGTCTCCTTCCATTTCCATGCAATTTCCCTTCTCTCTCCCTTTCCCTCCCCTTCCTGTTTTTTTATGTAACAGATTTTTAGAAACATGTTTTTAAACAATTGAAATTTCTATTTTTGAGATATAAAGTTCATATGTCTAGTAGGTAAAGAGTTTTAATTGTATTATTCAAATCTTCTGCATCCTTATTTTACCAAACTAGATACGAAACAATCATCTGCTCCTATTCTAGATTTGTCAGTCTCTCCTTATAATTCTCCCAATACTTGCTTTCTCTATTTGGAGGCTACATTTTGACTGTTATACATATAATTCTTGGTAAGTATACCTACTGGTAGTAAATCATAACTCTAATAAAATTTTTTCTTAAATTTGATGTTATCAAGTGGTAATACTCTTCACCAAGTGGAGTATACTTTTGGATAGTATCTGCCTCATACATCTGATTTTTGATTCTTTATCTTAAAATTTATTGTCAACACGTCTGAGGTATGACTCTTAAAACAGCATTACTGAGATTTTCTAAAATCCAATTAGAAAACTCTACTTTTTAAGAAATGACTTTAATCCATTTATATTCATTGTGACTGACACATTCAGACTTATCTTTGTTCTTTTTATTTTTTACATTCTTCTACATATTCTTTCTTCCTCTTTTTTCTTTTCTACTTTTAGTTAATTTTTATTCATCCTTTTTCCCTTAATTCCCTTGAAAGTAATATACTCTACAAGTTTTGCTTTAGTAGTCCTCTCAAAAAAAATTTTAAACAGAATCAATATCTAATCTTCATCATTCTGACATAAGGAATTTAGAAAGCACTCATTCCTATGAGGAAGCCTCTGGTTCCCACCAGCCTTCATGCTACTGTACCTACTATTTTTGTTCAATCATCTTGT